GATCCTGTTAGTAGCTTATTTTGGGAAGTGATTCCAGAGAGCAGGAGTGATACCAGGGTCTGAGAGAGGGAAATGGGGAAAAGCCAACGCAGGGGCAATGCATGAAGTCTGAGGACCAGAGGGTTTACCCACCACTTCCTGTCCCCCATTGGTCAAGTGTTCGCCCCATGAAGTCTGACCTCCTGAATGTTAGAATCAACCTGCCAGCATCCCATATCCCAGCACCCAGCAGCCCCGGGCAGAAAGCCAAGGCACAGCGTACAGCTGAGGTGAGGGCTGCTGGCTACATCTGGGCAGAGCTGGGAGCTGCAACAAGGGCTAAATTAAAGGATGCGCTGAAGGGCGGGAAGCAGCAGGCAAGAGGCAGGAGTGCTGACCTCCTTGCTGTTGGGCAAACATTCCAGCAGGATCCCACAGAAGAGCCTTTGGGATGGCAGTTCTTTCTGCCTAGAGCGTTTTTCTGGAAATCATCATGACCTTCACTTTCTCTAGATTTTTCCCCATTTGTTACCTTTTTCAGCAAGTTCTCCGCTCACCTTGTTTTAAATTGCAACCCCTATCATAGTATGTCCCCTACCTACCATATTTTTTTCCATAAGACTCACCACCACCCAGCATGCTCAAACACAGGGGTGGGACCAAGTAAGTTTACAGTTGTTCCTATGGAAAATATTGCAATAATTAGTAAATAATAATAATACAAAAACAAACTCTGTTTCCCGTCCTAACAACTGTAAACATACTTTTAACCACTCCTGTATGAGCTCCTGACAGCAGAAGTTTTTGTCATCTTTGTTAAATATTGTCATTCCAGAGCTTAGAATAATGGCTGGCACAGAGCAGGGCTCAGCATATGTTTTAAATAACAATGTGCTTTAAATGAATATATGAAAATAGAATAATTTTGCATAGCTTAATGTATTTCCTATTTTCATCTATTTTAGTAAAATTACTCAGTAGTTTGTCTTCTTCACTCAACATACCTCATTGTCATAAGATCAGTAGAGAGGCCTGCACAATATTTTATACTTCATAGTTTACATGTGTCACAGTTTATTTAGCCATTTTTTTCTATCCAGGGAGGTTTGTATTACCTATACAACTTTTTACCTATGCAAACAATACTGCAGTAAGTATCCTTATATGCAGTGGTGCTCTTATTTATCTAAATGGTGTGCTGGGTAAAAGTGTCTCTGTGTGTGAGTGAGTGTGTGTGTGTGTGTGTGTGTGTGTGTACATGTGTTTCAATAGACTTTATTTTTTAGAACAGTTTTAGATTAACAGAAATTTGAAATTATCCTATAGAGAGTTGCCATCTACTCTCCACTTAGTTTCATGTATTATTAACATCTTACATATACATTTGTTATCATTAATGAAATAGCACTGATACATTATCATTAACTAACGTCCATACTTAGTTCCGATTTCCTTCGTTTTAATCTAATGTCCTTTTTCTGTTCCAGGATCCCATCTGGGATACCACATGGCATTTCCTTGCCACCTGTCCCTGGGCTTCTCTTGGCTCTGACAGTTTCAGATTTTCTGGTTTTGATAGCCATGACAGTTTTGAGGAGTACTGGTCAGATGTGCTGTTCCAGCACAGCCAAGGGTTTGGTGAGCCTGAGGAGGGGCGGCGAAGGATTAAAGAAAAGATAGACAAAGAGAATACAGCTGGGGCTTGGTGGATCTCCCGTGCCTGGATGAGGACACAGACAGATCCGCCGGCAAGCTGAGGCTTTATTTTATAGTCAGAGGTAAACAAGGAGTGGGCAACATAGTTACAATGTTCGCGTGAGTTTCACTTGTTTTGGCAGCACTTGCTGCATCTCCCACAGCTGTTAGCTACCTAGGAAGGATCTAGGAAGCGCTTAAGGTCAAGCTTAATTGTGCTAGGAGGGCTCTGCCTCTAAGCTGGGACTTGTTTGTGGCTCTGCCACAGATCAACCTGAGGCTTACCCCTATAGCCGCTCCCTACAGTCAGGTGTTTTGTATATAGAAAGTGCTGTTGGAATTTGTTTGGTGTTTTCTTCATGGTTAGACTGGGGTCCCAGATTTTGGGAGGAAAACCATGTCACCTGGCTGAGATAGTGTTAAATATTGTCAAATTTCTCCAAGGAAGTCGCTCTTGCTTTCTCTCCATCCTGTACACTTGGAAGGAAGTGACTATGTGTAGCCCACACGTGAGGACTGGGGGTTCAGCTCTCCTCCATGGAGGCAGAGAATCTACAGAAATTATTTGGAATTCTTCTGCATAGATGTATTTCTTCTTTTCTATTTGTTTATTCAGTCAGTCAATTATTCATTCATAACAGCATAGACTCATGGATATTGGTGTCCCTTTGACATACCCCCATCAATGTAGGATTTATTTTTGTTTTATCATTTCCTTCCTTTCTGGCTTTATCTTGTACACTTCCTCCTTATCTAGAATCATCCGTTTTCTCCCAGGAGCCCTGGAGAGAGGGTATTAGCAACCAAGATTTGAGCTTTGGGTGCACATGTTGCCACTGGGGTATGGTTGCTTGTAGCCTCTTTGTTCTGACAGAGCAAGGTCATATATGTGTGAATACCAACTCCTGTATACAGATATATCTACAGTTTTTTCTATAAGTAATCATTGTACCTACATTAAGCTAACCATGAGTTCATACCAATGTCTCCAACACTAATCCAACATTTAAAATACAGAGAGGAACTAAAAGAAAGACCAAAGTAAAATGGCAGCAGCAAAGGCAGAAACTTGAACACAAGAAATTACACCTGCTTCTAGATACAGCATAGCTGAAGGACGGCGGTGACCGGCCTGGTAAGAACCACTGATTACTCCAGATTGGACCAGCCCAGCTCAGAATGCTAAGGAGTGAGACTGGGCCTGAGGCTTTGGCTCTACATACTCATAATTACTAAGGGATTCTAATTAAATGAGCCCTGAACGAAATCTTTATAGAATATATGGTAATCCAGTCTTGTCTGTTAAGATGACTTGTGCTGAAACCAGTTTGGCTCAGTGGATAGAGCGTCGGCCTGCAGACTGAAGGGTCCTGGGTTCGATTCCGGTTAAGGGCATGTACCTTGGTTGTGGGCACATCCCCAGTAGGGGGGGGGGGGTGGAGAAGGGTGTAGGAGGCAGCTGATCGATGTTTCTCATCAATGTTTCTGGCTTTCTATCCCTCTCCCTTCCTCTCTGTAAAAAATTAAAATATATATATAATAAGCATGTTGAGTACGCCTGTGAGCATCCATCCATCTTGTTGCTTGGTTCTTCTCTTCTGATTCCTCTCTGTGTCCCTAAAGAAGCCCTTTCAGGATTGAAGTAGAAATATCCTCACCTTCTTCAATGACATTGTGAATGTTGAGCTGTGATTGAAACCTCTGGGCTACTGACTGCAAACTTGTTTCAAGACCAGAGGTGCCTTTCTGAGTTCTGCCCCTGGAGTCAACAGAGAGAGAGGAGTAACGTGGTTTGAGATGCTACATCCATAGGATCTGGCTCCTGGTCTCACTACTGCACTGACTGCTTCCAGGGAGGTCGTGTGACCCCTGCTGGGGTGGGGGTGGGGGGTGGGGGACTCACCAGGCACTCAGGCCTCTCCCCACTTAACCTTTCAGCAGCATCTATCACCGCAGTCTGTCCTTCCATATTATGCCCCTGGCTTCATGGCATCATGCTCTGTTGTCTTCTTTCTTTTGTAATTACTTTATTGATTAAGGTAGCACATATTTATCCTCATTCCCCCCGATTCCCATTCCAAACCCCTCCCCATGCATGCCCCCACCCTCCCTGCTGTCCATGACTACTGGTTAGGCTCATATGCATGCACACAAGTCTTTTGGTTGGTCTCTCTCCCCTATCCCCACCCTCCCCTATGTTGTCTTCTTTCTTATCTTGGGGGGCCATCTTCCCTCTCTCTTCCTTCTCATCCACTCTTCTGATGCGCAGGAGTTCCTTGGGCCTCTTCCCTCCTCACTCGCTCTTTTGGGCAATCGCATGTGTCCATAGATTCACTTACACGCAGATGACTCCCAGCTTTTCTCTTCAGTTCTAACTCCACCCAACCTGACGGTTTCACTTTGGTAACTCAAAGTTCCCAACGTGCCAACAATAGTAATTTCTTCCCCAAAGAAACCATTCCCCCTCCCACTGCTGACCCCACCCTCTGCCCCATGATACAAACCTCTGGTCATTCTTGATGACTTCCTCTTCCCCCTCCCCCACCTCCAGTCCGTCACCACATCCGACTATTCCAATTACAAAGAATATCTCTGAACAGTGCCTTTCTCACCATGTGTCTGGCCTCTGCCCTGGCCTGTGTTCTAGATACACACCTTCAGGCACATCAGATTGAAGTCTTCCTCATTTTCCCATCTTAAAATCTTTCATCAGCTTAGAAAGCATGATTTATTTATTTATCCACAAATAACCGCCAAGGCCCAGTGCTGGGGGTTCAACAACATCATTCTGAGTAAATAAGAGAACATAGACCCTGATATCATGGTCCTTCCATTCTGTGGAATGTATCTATTATATCAGATGACAGCAGAGGACATTAAGCAACCAACTAAGGAATCCTTACTCTGTAATTACTTAGTAAACGCTACAGGCTCTGGAGGGCACATACTTCAGGGGGGCTACCAGCCATGCAGGGGCATTGAGCCCTGGGGGCCAGGGAAGACCTCCTTAGGAAGGGGCATTTCCTCGGGGCCTTCAAGGATGAGTTTGTATTAACTAAGCCATCTCTCCCCTTTCACTCTTCCTTCTTCCCCAGCCTTCTCCTATCTCTCTCTGCCTTCACCAACCGCCTGGGTTATAATCGCTTTTCACGTACAAGCTACTAACAAACAGCTCATGAAGAGAAGTAAGGTAATACTGTTTACAGGCTACTTCAACGAAGACAAAAACTTCCTGAAGGACAAGCAGCTTTCCTTTTATTGGGTCTGAACTAGAGAACGCTGACTTTCACGCCTCACACTGAGCGCCTCGTCCTTCATGTTTTCAGCAACTCAAGCATCCCAACCTCGTGAACCTGATCGAAGTCTTCCGGAGGAAGCGGAGGCTGCACCTGGTGTTTGAGTACTGCGACCACACGGTCCTGCACGAGTTGGACAGATACCAAAGAGGGTGAGCGATCCATCCCTTACACACGAAACACAGTGAGCCACACCGGGATGTGGGACCCTGTTTCGGGGTAGCCACTGTCTGGACAGCACGCCCTGCTGCTGGGGCCAACATCGGAGGAGTTACCAAAAAGGTTAGAAAAGAGATCTATCCAGTCATTTTTATGAAGAAAGCAAGAGCAGCATTATTAGAATGAACTTGATTTCTTTGGTTCATTATCTCAGTATACAAGCTACCCGAGTCTCTAAGAAAGAAAAGGGGGTATTACTTCTTCTGTGCCTGACTAGGGAAGTGTGGGGACTCGGAGACTGGAAGGAAGATTCCAAAGATAACAGTCATTAGGAAATTTATGGCTAACACAAATGGGTTGCCCTAGCCGGTTGGGCTCAGTGGATAGAGCATTAGCCTGTGGACATAAGGGTCCCGGGTTCGATTCCGGTCAAGTGCACATATCTTGGTTGCAGGCTCCTCCCCGGTCCAGGCCATGGTCCGGGCGCATGCAGGAGGCAACCAATAGATGTGTTTATCTCACATTGATACTTCTGTCTTTCCCTCTCTAAAAATCAATGAAAAAATATCCTCAGGTGAGGAAATAAATAAGCAAACCAATGTGTTGCCGCATCCAAAGCAATCCAGGTGTCCATGCTGCTGCCTCGGTCAGGACTTCTTTCTTTCTTTTTTTTTTTTTTTTTTTTTTTTTGTCTTAGTATTTTATTTTAATTTTTTTTGTATTTTTTTTATTTATTTTTTTAATTAATTTATTTTTTTTAACATATTTTAATGATTTTTTTTGCCCCCCTCCCTCCCTCCCCCATATCCCCTCCCTCCCCATAGTTTTATGTCCATTGGTTGTACTTATATGCATGTACACAAGTCCTTCGGTTGATCTATTATCTCCCCCAGATCCTCCTCCCCTCCCCGCTGTAATTTGACAATCTGCTTGTTGCTTTACTGTCTCTATATCTATCTTTTGGTTCATCAGTTTATAATGCTCTTTATTATCCACAAATGAGTGAGGTCATGTGGTGTTTCTCTTTCATTGATTGGCTTATTTCACTCAGCATGATGTTCTCCAATTCCATCCAGGTTGCTGCAAATGATGAGAATTCCTTCTTTTTTATGGCAGCATAGTATTCCATTGTGTAGATGTACCATAGTTTTTGGATCTAATCATCTGCTGACGGGCACCTAGGCTGTTTCCAAATTCTGGCTATTGTAGATTGTGCTGCTATGAACATAGGGGTGCATATATCCTTTCTGATTGGTGTTTCTAGTTTCTTGGAATATATTCCTAGGAGTGGGATTACTGGGTCAAATGGGTGTTCCATTTTCAGTTTTTTGAGGAAACTCCACACTGTTCTCCACAGTGGTTGCACCAGTCTGCATTCCCACCAGCAGTGCACGAGGGTTCCTTTTTCTCCGCAACCTCGCCAACACTTGTCGTTTGTCGATTTGTTGATGTTGGCCATTCTGACAGGTGTGAGATGGTACCGCATTGTTGTTTTGATTTGCATCTCTCGTATAATTAGTGACTTTGAGCATGTTTTCATGTGCCTTTTGGCCTTCCTTCTGTCTTCTTTTGAAAATATTCTATTTAGGTCCCTTGCCCATTTCTTAATTGGATCATTCTTCTTCCTTTTATTTAGTTGTATCAGCTGTCTGTAGATGTTAGAGATTAAACCTTTATCAGTGGTGTTATTTGCAAATATGTTCTCCCACACCATGGGCTTTCTTGTTGTTTTGTTGATGGTTTCTTTTGCTGTAAAAAAGCTTTTTATTTTGATGTAGTCCCATTTGTTTATTTTCTCTTTAGCTTCCATTGCCCTAGGGGCAGTATCAGTGAAGAAGTTCTTTTGGCATACGTCTGAGATTTTGCTGCCTGTGGAAGGACTTCTTTCGTTACAAGGGACAAAAACCCAGTTGAAGCAAGTGAGGGTGGAAAAGGAATGTGATGGTTCTCTAATTAGGAAGGATGGGTTTTTAAGGCTTTGCTGACCTTGCCATATCTCTCTAGCATATACAACTCTTCTGTGTGCACGGGAAGGCTGAGTGAGCAGGCAGATACTTCCTTTGAAAAAAAGGGGGGCTCCCTTTCAAGGGTTGAGAGTAGCCCTTACCTGGGTGAATAGAATAGAGGCTGGCTTTTGGCTCCCGCCCACTCCTCAGCAAGATGTCTTAACATAGAGTGCCACAGGTGGTGGCTGTTCTCTCTCGGCTCTTCTTGGTGTTGGTTTCATTCTGCTTTGTACACAAGTCTCCCGTATGAGGTGAATTTTGGAAGATGTGTGTGTGTGAGGGGGGAGGGGGATAGAAAGACTTAGGAAGGGAAGAAGAGATAGAAAACATGACCACAAGCTTTTATCAACCTATGTAGTCATTCTAGAAGAAAGGATGTTCTAGAACACATGTGTCAAACACAAGGCCCGCAGGCCAAATCCGTCCCGCCAGGCCTTGCAATGTGGCCCGCACTGCGCTGTCATCACTGCACTCCGCTGCGTTTCCATCACAGTGACAGTTTATGACTGTTCAGTAAACCATTCGGCCCATGATTTAGGCTGGATTTTAGATTTTGGCCCCTTCTCTGATTGAGTTCGACACCCCTATTCTAGAAGAAGGTAGTATCTGCATATAAAGTCCAGCGGGAGACTCTGATGGGTTCATCTCAGTTGATGCAATCACTGTGGCCAAAAGGAGAGGGTAGAATGATTAGCAGGCCCTGAGAGATATGATTCAAAGCAGGTCAGTCAAGGAAGACTTCGTGGAGGAGGTGGCCTTTGGATTGAACGGTGAGGAGATTTAAGAGAAGTTAAGCAGGAAAGAATATTCCATCTCTCCTTACGCCTTGCTCCTAGGAGCCCAACTTTGGCTGGGGACAATATACAGAGTGCATTGTAGATCAGAGTGGTGGAATGCCACCCCATCTGGTCACATTCACACTCAGCAGCTGGAGACTGGGGCTCTCTTAACAGTGCTTCCAAGCCTTGGCCAAGAGCTTGCTCTGCCATGTAGTGGCAGTTATATATGATCTACCCTGACCTCCAGGCAAATGGGATTAAAGTGGCTTAACGTCTGTTAGTGACCATGGCATAGGCTTTTCATGTTAATTTACACAACCAGAGAGCGCCAAGAAAACAACACATCCCTTCAGAAAGTCGTTGATGCAGAGAAATGCATTCAAGGGAGAAAGCCTTCTTAGTATGTTGATATTTACTCTTTGGACAGCTTGGAAGTGTCACCTCAATGAAACTTATGAGTGTAAGTTACTCGTGGCTATGTGGTTGGTACAAGGGAGGTGTTGCGGGGAGTTTGATTAATTATGTTAGGTTGAGTCCCTTGGAAACACTGATTTGTGGGGGGTTGAAAGCAATAGGGAGTCAGTTCTTCATGGCACATAGTTTGAGAAGAAAACAAGGACAGGACAGGATCGATTAGAGTTTTGAAAGCAGATTTTTTTTTTCTTTCTTTCTTAACTCCACTGGCTAAAATATGTAATATATATTCCAGGAAATACAAAAACGTTTTACTATGGAAGTGGGTTATTTATAAGTACATTCCAGTAAAAGTGGGTCTTTATCGTCTGTATGACCTTTGACAAGTTGCCTTCCGGTGTCTGCACTTGGAAAATGAGAGCTCAGTGCCAGGTAGAGTTTAAGGGAATGTCCAGCTCTGTAATGCTATCAATTGATGATCTCATGTCCTAGAAGTCAGAAGACTTTGGTTCTCCTTTGGATTCATATGTGATCTCTTACATAACATCAACAAAGGATAATGTCTAATGCTGGTGTTTGCCCTGCCTGGTGCCAGGGAGGGGCCTCCTTAGGTTTGCACACTTAATGCAAGAATGTCCTGTGATCACTATCGTCACTGTACTGGATTGTGGGGGTCTGATGCAGTGGGGGCCAGACATGGCAGGGATCTCCCTGTCTACATCCTGCACAGAAAGAGAGATGAATGAACTTGTTCTAAGTGGAGGCGGCCAGGGAAGAAGACGCAAAAATAGATTTAAAGCTGGGAGCTGGGTGGGATGCCATCCATTCTCTCTGACGTCGACCTGAGCCATGCAGCAGCGTGTTTATTTTTATAGGCCTAGATTTACATATCTAGTCCCACTCCTGCCGGCACCTGGGCTGCTATAAAGTCAGAACTGATTGACATGTCCAGCCTTATTGGGGAAACATGTTCCCAGGGCATGGCTCTGCCTATGCCCTGAGTTCAGCTGACGATAATTAAAGAAAATTGCCCATGTGCCTTACCAGGTGGCCCTCTACCCTGGGTCACCCTGTTCCCACCTGTCTCCCACTCCATAGAATCAAGGATGTGCTGTTTTCTCAGCCCGGGGTGTCCAACCTTCTCTCCTTTGCCTACCAAATTCCTGCTTGTTCTTCAGATACAGCTCAAATATGGCCTCCTTTGTGATAGCTATCTTTTTAAAAATTTATTTATTTATTTATTTGTTTGTTTGTTTGTTTTTTTGTTTATTTTGGAGAGAGAGGAAGGGAAGGAGGGAGGGAAGAGAGAGAAGAGAAAGGAGGGCGCTTACTAGAGGCAACCAGTCAATGTGTCTCTCTCACATCAATCTCTCTCTCTCTCTCTCTCTCTCTCTCTCTCTCTCTCCACCCCTCTCCTTCTCTCTTCCACTCTCTCTAAATATCAATGAGGGAAAATGTCCTCTGGTAAGGATTAATAAAACAAAACAATAAAAACATCCCCCCCCCCAAAAAAAAAAGAAAGAAAAGCCTTAAAGACACAATCTTAGACTGAATAGTTTTACTTGTAATAATTTACAGAAGAAAATAATTGAGTGTATATGTCAAGATTGTTAAAGTATTGTTTATAATGAAAAATTGCAATCAATAGAAATGTCCAATGATAGAGAGTTGGTTAAGTAAATTATGGTATGTCTTTACAATGGAATACAGTGGAGCCACTAATAATCATGCTTATAGATAATACAGACATTGACCAAAAATGTTCATAAGTGGTTGCAAAGTGAAAAAAAAATG